ATTCAAGATTCTGATCAGTGGGACGCGCAGGCGATCACGTGAAACGGGAATCACGTCACTCAAACTCAATAATGACTGCTCTGGCCGCGATGCGCTCGAGCTGTGCTGCATTACGGAACACAGGAACAAAAGGTGGGCTGTGGTCGAGGAGGATCGATGCTTCATGCTTCATGGTATACTCCTTCACATGCCACCATCAAGCATTCGCGCACGCAACACCAACCTCTCGATCGGAAGCGTACCTCATCGATCGCTATTCTCATCGCCTATAGCTGCATCGCTGGCTCATCCTCGTCATTCGCGCCCGGCTTTCAGCCACCCAGGAACACTCGCCACAGCTACAAATAGAGCACAGTGCTCCTTCTCATCGCTTCGCAGCCTGCATCTGTCCACAACATGATGGGGCCACACACTCACACGATGGCACTTCGCAGCCTGCGAGGTCTTCTGTCTCCCAGCTCCGCCTCTGTCCGCATTGCGACTCCGATCGCCTCGGTCTCGCGCAGACACGCAACAACCAGGGCAGCACCAGCTCGGCCCTCCGCCTCAGCAGCATCAACCCCCGCAGCATCCTCGCCCAATTCTTCCACTCCTACTCCAGCCTCGAGTTCCAACCCCATCTCGTCTCACCAAGACTTGTCTGAAGCGACCAATGGCGAGCCAGGAGGAACGACTCCGGGAGAGAATTGGGCAATCAGTTTTGCGGGCATGAGCGTTCAACCTTTCGATTCGAGGATCGCGGATGTGCTGGAAGCGCCCATCAAGGAGGAAGACGTGGAGATCAAGCCGGGTGAGTAGCATACATGCGTCGACTTGTCTCTACAGTGTTTCGCCTGACCACCACTCATCTGCTCTCGCATCAGATGGATTGCTCTATCTTCCCGAGATCAAGTACAGACGTATTCTAAATAGAGCCTTTGGACCTGGCGGGTGGGGATTGGCACCTCGAGGCGAGACCAATGTAGGCGCAAAGATTGTCAGCAGAGAGTGGGCGCTGGTGTGCCTCGGACGGTAAGTCAAGTCGAGTCATCGTGTCTGCCCTCTTTCCGCACTTTGCTCACCCTACCTTGGTCGCCCGCTCTCTGTGTGCTGCGCTGACTTTTCACCATGGCAGCTTCGTTGCCACAGCTCGCGGCGAGCAGGAATACTTTGACCCTTCGGGAGTGGCTACAGCTTCGGAAGCAGCCAAGTCGAACGCTCTGGTCAGGTGCTGCAAGGACCTAGGTATCGCGCACGAACTTTGGACTCCGCGATGGATCGACAACTTTAAGAGCAAGCATTGCATCGAGGTCTGGGCAGAGAATGCTACAACCGGTAGAAAGTGAGTGGTCCACATTTCACCTCGTTGGGGCATCTTCACCCTCTCAACGTACACGACGGACTAATGCTTTCCTCGGCCATGCTCTCGCAGGCGCAAGCTCTGGCGCAGAAAGGACGCGTCTCCATTCCAGTACCCAAACAAGGAGGTCAGGAGCTGACGGTAGCGACCTTACGTTGCCACGTTTGCTGCTGTGTATCTTTTCTGTGGGGAGTCTCCAATGCTATGCTGCTTGAGTAGCAAAGTGCAGGGTCGAGGTGTGTGAAAACGACCACAGCAGGTGCGAAGGACTGAAATGGGACCATGGACGAGGTGGGACCTGCTGTGTTGGTCGAGGTAATTGCCCACAGCCGCAGCACCTCGCTGTGCGTCTGGAAGCAACACACGCATTGGTGATCCTTGGCGTACGCCAGAGTGAGGAATTGATGCGCTGCGGAGCTTCTCTAAGGGAACCTTGAAGGCGAGCAATCGGTCAGCTGCAGGCCGCATGTCTGAGCGGAGAATCCCTCGGCCAGACTGCCTAAAGGTAGAGTAGACGTTGCATAGTCTGAGAATGCAGTACGAACTCTCCAGCTCTCAATCCCCTTGAGTGCTCTAGATGCAGCTGCGCTTGTGAGTCACCAGTCTCTCGAAGCGCTTTTGTCACGCTGCTCCATGCTGCTGCCGCATCGACCATCTGTAATGCCGGCAATCGCACTTGTTGCTGGTGTTTCAGGAAGCCACCCTTCCCGACTTCCACTCCTCCTCCCGCTCCCATAACTGCTTTCCATCCTTTGTCTGCTCCACCCACGCAACGTACTTGAGCGGCAGTACGCCATGTTGGCCTTGGTGATCGATGCCTGGCGTCAACACTGCTCCGTTTGAAGCGACCAAGAATGGAATGCCATCCGCGAGCGCCGAAGTCAAATCCACGTGGAGAATCAGAGGAGAGGAGGTTCTCATGCCTACACAATAGAGCGGGTCGAGAGATGCGCTCAGATCAGCTGATACTGGCTGGCTGAGGGGTGGATGCAGTGCAGAGACAGACTCTTCACTCACCGCTGATGACACCACTGCCAGGTCGTCCCGCTGCCAAGTGTATATGCTGACGCTTCATCCGGCTCAGGCCTCCGGAAGATTTGATCAGCTCCCACGCCGCCTTATTTGTTCCATGCAGCACATACACTGGTGCCCCTGAATTCTCGTCTCCCGGCAATTGAGCGTCAGCAGCAGGACCATTTGATGACTCGAGTGGCGACGCATGTGGAGCAGCAAGAATCGCGAGGTTGTCGAGAGTGAGTCGAGTCATTTCGACGTCGACCTAACGCAAGGGAGGAGTCAAACATCAGCACGAACTCGTTGTTGCCTGCACGCGCTGAAAGCCTACAGTCACAAAACTCACATTCTCTAGGCTATGCCCCTGCACCGCCCTGATCCAATACCCTCCCTCCTCTTCTCTAAGTTCGAAGCGCTTCTTCTCGTTGCCCCGCACGACCTCCTTAATATCGTCCAAGCTGACCTTGCGCCCATCAGCAGGCAGCTGTATGCTCTTGATTCTCGACGATTTGAGCACA